GGATAATCTACACGGGTTCATGCATGACAAACAATGAAAAACATTCTGTGTATTAAAGGACTACTACCCGGCAAGGGCCCCTAGCCAGTTAATGGCAATGTTACTATTTTGGTAACAAAAAGTACTCGACCCCTTCATAATACACGATCACCACTTCGACTATGAATTCCATCGTCAAAATAACAAAGTTTTCGGTTATCTCGAGAACATAAGCACCTAATGAACACGACTTTTGATCAGCAATTATTGATGACTTTGTATGGTTGAAGAGGTGGCTGACATGCAGTTCGCCCGGACCTGAGTCGTACCGAAAGCAGATCTGCGGGCCGAATGGCCCTGGCGTAGGCAAAGGGGGGTGAGCGCTAAGTTGTATAGCTGCCTTGGCATGATGCTTGACCAATTGCAAAAGCATACTATGACGTGAATCGGATGTCCCAAGGTGCCGACCCGGGCTTCCTCACGGACAATCGGGAAATTCCATGATGATTGGTTGAAGAATTCACCCTTTTTGCCCATCTTCGGCCGACAATGGCCTGAAGGTCTCGTCTTCTCTTTCCATTCTCTTCAGCTTCTGACGTATAGGCTCGTGAGACATACTCGAGTCCTTGCTCTCACGATGGCATCTTCTGCGACAAAAAGGAATACTGATGAACGAGATGAAGCGGACTCTAACACGACTGCAAGACCGACACCAAGTGAGGAGCCGGAACAACCTACTGGTTATCAACAGAATGTGTCTTCAACCGAAGCGGATGAGAAGAAGAAAGAGAAGAAGCCATCGAAATTGAAAGCAGCATGGGGAAAACTAGGACTGGACGTTCCAACTCTTCTCATGATGGGAAAAGCAGCGTTACCGCCGACTATTGCGCTGTCCATGTATCAAGCAAACGATGTTGCGGAAACATACACGACACTGGGATACCTCACGGCCATTGTGTCCATTCTTGGTTTCTGTATCATGCCACGCGCAAAGTTCATTCAGACTATAACCATGAACATACTCGGTACTTGTATCGGAGCAGCCCTTGCAATGCTTATGGTCTGGACCGGCGTAAAGGCGCGGCAACACACGACCGATCCTGCCGCACCTCCACAAGCCTACAATTCTTCTCAGTCTGCTGTTCTCGCAGTTTGGCTATTCTTTCAGATATACGTGGTCAATACTATGAAAGCAAAGTTCCCACAACTTGCCTTTCCCACAATAATATACGCCATATTTGTCAACGTTGCGGCAACTAGCGGCTTCTTGTTCAGGACAGTACCGCAGTGCCAGGCATTCGTGCGGAGGCTATTGGAAACGTTCTTGACAGGATTTGCAATCGCGACAGCTGTAAGCTTGTTCATTGTGCCTGTCACGTCGCGGAAAGTCGTAATGAAAGAGTTCGCAGGGTACGTTGGATTGCTCAAGGGAGCCCTAGGTGCTCACAAGGCCTATTTCACTAGTCTTGAAACTAGCGATATGTTTGCGCAGGAATATGTGCCAGATATAGGAGACAAAAAGAAGAAAGAATCAAAACCAAAGGTGAAGCCAGAAATTGAGGCTGTCAAGAAGATGACTACAGCACTGCAACAACTGCACGGCAAACTTTCCGCAGATCTCCCATTTGCGAAACGAGAGATTGCATTTGGAAAGCTGTCGCCTGATGACTTGGAGGTCACGTTCAAAAACCTCAGATCAATTTTGCTACCGGTCCTGGGCTTGGCATCAATCATAGATCTTTTCGAACGCAGTGCGGAAATTAACCATTGGGACGGGCATGAAAACGAGGATGACGAGGCCCTTCGCAGACAAGCTGTAAACGAATGGAATGAGATGTTCAGGTTTGCGCACGAGCCGCTCAGACACATATTTCAAGCTCTTGATGATGGTCTTTCCCATGTTTTCTTGAGATTGCAGCTGGCGAAACCACCAAAGAAGAAAGGAAAGAACCAAGAAGATGCGGAGGCAAAAGGAGACTCTGTCAAACCAGGAGATGCTGGATTTGTCGAGCATCTTCAAAAGCAGGCGGACGCATTCTTCAGTACAAAAGAGTCTACACTCCACCATTGGGTCAAAACAAAGGGAATCAAGCTCAGAGATGACTACTTCACATGTCCCTCGGCTATCGATGAAGAAACCTTGGAGCTTATCCCCAGTATCACGACAAGGAAGCGAGACCAACGCCAGCTCTTCATGCTTCTCTACATCATGTTCTTGCTCCATTCGATAAGCCGCTCAACGCTCGAATTTGTAAAATTTGCTGATAGCAAAGACCAAGCGACCATGAAGAACCAGCTCATTTGGCCAGGCGGGCGACGCTTCAAGAAGTGGCTGAAGAGCATCTTCCAAAGTCAAGACGCAAACTCAGACGATGAGACGACGGTCGCTGGATTTGACAGAAACAAGACTACTGTGTACATGGGAGACGCATTCAATAAAAAGAAGGACCCAGAACATCTACCACCCGCCAATGCTTGGGAAAGATTTGGAGACCGGTTACGGAGGATCCCGGCCTTTCTCCGCAGTCCTGAATCAGCTTTTGGATTTCGTGCCGCTTGTGCTACAATGAGCTTAGCTATCATAGCCTTCTTGCGCCCGACACAGCGGTTCTTCATCGAACAACGCTTAGTGTGGGCCTTGATCATGGTTGCCATTTCCATGACACCCACTACGGGTCAGGCAATTTTCCAGTTTATATTACGTATTGTCGGAACAGCTGTAGCGATGGTTTTTGCGTGGCTCATCTGGTACATTCCTGCTCAAAAGACGCCCGGCGTACTTGTTTTCCTCTGGGTTTTCGTTGCGATTGGATTTTACATTCCAATTAAGCGTTTAGACTTGGTCATTGTCGGAATCATTAGCGTTGTCACTGCTACTATGATTGTCGGCTACGAACTCCAGGTCCGCAAGATTGGCGAGCAAGCAGCCACAGCAGGAACAGGCCAACCTGCATACGCCATCTACATCCTAGGCCCTTACCGTCTGGCTACCGTCATTGCCGGTCTTGCAGTAGCATTTTTCTGGACAATCTTTCCTTACCCAATCACCGAGCATTCTGCTGTCCGCCAGCAGCTCGGTGGTGCACTATATCTCTCTGCAAATCTGTTCTCAATTATGCACGAGCAAGTCATGGGTCGTATTCGAGGCGAACTCGGTGGCGAAGAAGACAGTAAAAAGGACAGCCCAGGATACCAGCTAGTCAAAGCCCGAAATAAGGTCTTTGCCAAGCAGATGCTCACTATCCAAGGATTGAAGATGCATGCTGATTTCGTGAGGTGGGAATTTCCATTCGGAGGCAAGTTTCCAAGGGAAGAATACGAAAAGATCATCATACATGTCGAGAAGTACGTATCGCCTCTTCCTCAAAGGAACGCCAGAACCTAACCGTTTGAATAGTATCGTCAACTACACAGCCCTCCTCGGCTACGCATCCGAAGCCTTCACCCACCCCTCACTAACCCAGCAATCCTCGGACCTAGAACTCGACGACAAAAACAGCAAAGCCCAATGGTTCCACGACCTCCGCCGCGTAATCTCCGACGCAAAAGTAACATCCCACGAAACAACCTCCTTACTCGCCATGCTCTCCTCCTCCATCACAAACGCCCAGCCCCTTCCCCCTTACCTCCGCGTACCCTCCGGCGCCCAGCTCTCCCGCAAACTCGAAATAGTGGACCCCGAGATCCTCAGCCTCAAACATATCACAGAGCCGGGTTACGCGGCGTTTGCTGTCATGGCTGTTAGCACGCGGTGTATCAATATGGAGATTGAGCGGCTGTTGAAGGCAGTAAAGGGACTTGTGGGCGAGTTGGATTTTTCGTTTCATATTGTTAGCACGAGGGAGGAGGAGGGGGAGTCGAAGGAGACGCTTGTGCAGAGGAGTAATAGGAAGATGGATTAAGTGTCTTTGTCCCTTTTTTTGAGTTGACATTTTGTGTGCATGGTTCTTTCTCTCCCTTTTTTTGGGTCGCCTTTTTGTATAAGTTGAGGCATAGAGGGGTAGATAGGACATTACATAATATGTATATGTATGTATGTATGAGAAGGGAGAGAGGCTCATTTTGGGGTCTCATTTGGGGGGGGGGAGGTTGAAAACGATATCCGTACACTTCACCAAAGCAAAGAGGTATGTGTATATATAAGGAATGTTCTAATTATTACTCATTTCAGACTATTCTATAATCGCATTACTTTTCGTTCATGTACCGCATTCGTTTCTTCGATCCTTCATTTTCTTTTGTGGTGGTTCGCACAAGGGTGTTTTTTTGCTCCATCTACTTGCATCCTACCGTCCTCGCCGAGCGAATCGGCTTATTCGGACCAAACGTGTTGCATGCGCCCCCAACCGTAGCAATAGTAGTGCTATCACCTTTGCAGTTGTCGTCGTCGAATACAATGACTATTTGCATCATTTTGATTAGTATATTCAACCAGAAACAAAAGAAAAAACAAGGAGTGCGAAAGGGAGGGGGAATGAAGAAGAATGAGAGGAGAACTTACCACTGCATCCAGCAGGCAACGTTGCAATATTATCGGCGGTGACTCTGAATGAATCGGTGTTTCCGCTGAAGACCGGCGATGTAGAGTAGCATTTACCGTCCGTGGGCATATATAAGACTGTTGTGGCCTTGCCGCTGCATGTTGAGCCGCCCCAGACGGTGATGGGAAAGCCGTTGTCGAGGCTCGAGGCTCGGACTAGGGGAGCTGCGGTTGTGGTGGCAGCAAGGAAGAGAGGGAGGGCAAGTGTGGAGAAATGCATTTTTGTTTTGCGTGGTGGGAAATCTGGAAGAAAGATTTCTCGGTTTGGAGGAAAGGGGGGAAGTAGAAGAGATATTATTTGGAGGGTTGTTAAAGGTTGGGTGTGTAGGAGATTGTGTCTTGATTGCTTGGATGAAGATAGCAGAGATAGAGGCTTTCTTTTTATACATCTGTCAATGAGTACATGACAGAGCATATGTCATAAGAGTTGCATGGATACTATCATTCTTTGCCGGCTAAGCAAAGGAGTCTTACCGTTTGAATGCGCTTGCCCAACCTTTCCGCGGCGGTTGCGTTATTGGTAATTGCAGTAGTCACAGGCCCACCACTAGTGGGTTACATGGATGGTGGGCGTGAGCGGGATACGGTGAGCCTTGTGGTTACCCGCCCTGTGCTGCTTCTCCATCATGGGCGGTTTCTTTTTGGTCGAAAGGATCCGACGAGATCCGTTCTTTCTTTTTTAGCGAGCGGTACAGTCAGCATAGGCTATGCAACCCGCGGTATCCCGAATAGCAACGTGAAAGTGTCTAGGTGCGATCCTGGCTCGTTTGTATTTTGCCTGTAAGCCAACTTTGAACATGGCGGGCGGAGAAGCTTCCGTGAGAATGTTGTGGTGGCTGAAAGTCCAACGCTGGGCTTTGACCCCCAAGCAGAGTTGATCCTCCTTTGTTTGTGCACTTGGTTTTCCCTTTGGTTCCTGAACACAAATTTCTCGAATAATAGAAGAGGAATAGGTAGCGTGCATTGTTGACACGCCAGCATAGCGTGACGCAGTAGTTGCAACTTTGTCGGCTGACTAGTACTCGTAAGTTTGACCATCGGCTGTATATGCTGACTACTAGCCAGAGCCGTAAAATCAGTTCACCTATGTACGCATGATTGGCCAAAAACATGCCAAAGGTCGGGCCTATTGATAGGAATCACATCTTCAATAGTCGCGTCTTGTCCAGGATCGTCCCGCATTCATTGTGTAACGTGCAATCCATGAGGTTCGTCATAGCAGGCAGATCCGAGCACGCCAAAATTCCTATGTGTAAGCACGAGCTGTTGGATACATGGGCTATTTTCCTTTGACATGTCAGTTGCCAAATGAAGGCCATGAAATCGCACTCTTCCTGTAGCTAAGACGCTGCTGCCGCACTCTGTATAAACGATAAACTGTGGTGAGGGTCTAGACAAAATCCTTCCAGAGACTGTCCACTGCAAGCAGCATCTACCCATTCCTTTGCATATGCAAGGCCCGTAGTACATGTATGCGCCTTTTCGAACCAGCTATTTGGTGCTAGACCGGGTGATGATAGTCGTTGACATGACATCGGCGTTCGTTACCTGATGTGGATCCCATTGCCGACCCTAGTAATGGTGGATCTCTCAAGACTAAGTAGACGTTCCGTGCCGCGCGCTAGGCCCCAAGGAATGCAAAAGGACGCAAGGTGGATCATAATGTCATTGACGATGATGTGTTTTAAGCCCGAGTACAAGCCAAGCAAGTGGCTGGGATATTGGCAGAGTAGGGTCTTGTTGCGAGACTCTGCCCCTTCATCCAATCCTCTTTCTCCTTAGTTCCACGCTTCAAGTCCTCTTCGTTGGCTAACTTATGGCAGGATTGGAGGTGGACCGTCACGCTGGGTGCATCGCCAAAAGAGGCTCGGAGGATCTGACAACACGCCATCCTGGCCCACATGCTATAAAATTTAAATACCTACCGATCGTGTCCTTCAGCCTCAGAGAGCAGATGCAAGATTCCTGAACTTAACCATAGGCTAAATGTGAGCGAGCAGAGGACTTGATTCCAGGTGCTGGCACTGGGGTCGTGATACCGAGACGCTTAATCAAGTGGTGATATGTTTAGAATTGACGTTGGGGTATTGGGGGATGGGTGCGGTCGGCGATGCAGCTGAATGTGCGGCTTATCCATTGGAATCCTGAATTCCAGCAGGGTGGTAATCCGGCCTGCGCCGGTACAGGCTAAATTGATCCAAGAAGCTAGGCATGCCGCTTGAATTCTTGAGTGCATATTTTGAGTTGGAATCCGGGTTGGTGGATGAGCGAGAAATGAAGAGCTCGATGGAAACCATCTGAGATTGAGGCTGATGTTCATCACCCCACCCAACCACCCCACCCAGCCATGTCCAACTATCGCCGTGGGGGTTACCCGCTGCACATTACGATCAAAATTCGAACGGACGACAAGAGTTTAACTTACCGAAGCGCTAGTCACCCGCTCTCCCCCATCCTTGCACAAAGAATGCCTAAAGCTGATTCCTATCGTTGCTGTCTTCACCGCATCTCTAGCTGACGAGAGAGACCAGTCACTCCAGATAAGAATTTAATTTGGAAATACTAATGTGCTGAGATATGCTGGCCGACCAGCTCGCATACAACGTCAATTTTTCCACGATCTTCTCGCATTCCACGTGTAGTGAGCCTGATTGTAGGGTTGGCGTATATGTCGAGCCAGTGACTATTTTTACCACACAACATTTACTCTTGCGTCTCCATAGTCACCGCCCGTCATGGGTCTAAATATGCCTCTGTCTTTGAGACACGTCTCCTTCAATCCAGTAACAAGGTTGATGTTTCCTTTCCAGCAATCAGCTCCACGCTCGTCTTGCCCTGTATGCATCAACCAAACAACCCTGCGCCTGCCAAGACGGCGCAACAGTACGCCGTGGCTCCGTGAGATGAACTTGGTATAACGGGCTGCCATACCTGTTCGTTCTTTGGTTGGCGCCCTCTTCATTGTCTCAGTGACCATTGTCTGGTCGCAGTCTTCAATGAAGACGTAAGTAGGCGACATGCGGTAGACTCGCCACCCGTATTGTGCAGCCTCGTCTTTGAAGAACCCCGGGTTCTTTGGGATAGCCATCGTAGCAGGGCCTGATGCTCCGCAAATAAATCCCTCGATATGGCTGATTGCAGTTTTGTATAACATAACAAATAAGCGCTGAGAGCTTATAAAAGGTACAATACGCGAGTGCTCGAGTGGCTTTGGTGGACTGCGAGCCGCAGGCAGGCATTTCTGACGTCAAGTAAGCTACGTAGCTGATATCAAGCACTGCATGCCCTACTTACGCTACTGATGACAGCGTATTCGCTATCAACAAGACGCTTCAACATGCTCTGTTGCGTCTCTGCGTCTGCAGCTGCCAGTCTAGCTTTCATAAAGACAAGCTCCAGGATTGCAATAGATCGAAAGATGACGTAGTCTCTCAAAGCAAGCTTCGAGGATCCCTTCAAAACAACAGCAATGTAAATCAACGAGAAGAAGTTGACAAACGGCGTGTCTGACCATATGAATCGCCCTGCACGCCGAAGAGCCATAATGGGCATGACAAAACTCTTCTTCTTGCATGCCACTGCAGCGGATGCTAGAAACGTCAGGCCGAACGTAGCTGCAATTAGCGCATTCAGCACTCCTGTTGGGAGAGCTAGGTTCATGGCGATTGCTGAAGCAAGCGAGGCTATCAAGAGGATAAACCCGGTGTTTGTAAAGTACGGCTCAGCCAGCTCGCCATCTTGATCTCTGGAGAAGACGGACATGTAGCCGTCAAGCATGACAGAAGTATCGATAGCAGCCTGGTCTTTGGCAACAATGAATATATGGTAAAGGATGGCTGTGCCGTTACTCATTTCCTTTAGAAAGACGGCAATGCACGAATGCAGCAACAATGCGCTGGCAAAGTTGATTTCCTGCTTCCATGGGACGGATGGCATGGCTGTTGCGGGAGAGAGAGAGAGCGACGGAAGGAAGAGGCAAGATTGTGGATAGCAAGGCTGGAGGGGGCCTCGCTGGGGGAGGCCTAGTTGTCCGTATGTGTGCATTGTGGCGCACAAGCTACTAACTGTAAGGAGATGAGACTCCAGCGCCACAACTGGAATAGTTAGATGAGTAGCATTGTAAATCGTCTCGTTCATCTCAAAGTTGGAAAGAGATGATTATGGTTTGCTTGCTATTGAGCCGGCTGACTTGCTGGGAAAGCGCGGAAAGTCGAAGAGCGAAAAAAAGCAGAGATTGCACGGAAGCTGTGAATTTGCGATGAGAGCCCGTCGTCTTTGTAGCTCGATCGTCTCGGATAGTAATTGTTGTATATGACCACCATGGCAACTGTGATAACCCCACCTTTGATAGCAAGCCCAATCCTTCTTCATGAATACCACCCAAAACGCCATATTGCAATGCATGTTCCCTCTGCTGTATGATACATCCCGCCTCTTTCTGCTTGCTGCCCCTCACCTAAACTTGGCTGTGCCTGGTACATCCTTGATCTCCTCAAACTTGGTACCCATCTTGACTACACTGTATCTGATAAGACGCGGGTCCAGACTCATGGTCCTGCGCAGGGCGTGCTGAGCGCGGGCACTGGCATCGAAGCGCATAATGAAGTGGTGGCCGTAGTGATGTGTCGATTGCAGCTTCTTGGCTGGCTTGGGGAGCAGAAACGTTCCCCAGTTGGAGACGCCGCGCACAACGCCCTGCTGATCGAGAACGATTTTTCCGGCGGTTTTGGCGATTCTAAATAAGAGGTCGGGTCAGATGAGAGTGTATTTCGAAGGGCAGGTCCATGGTATGTGGGGATTTACTCTTTGACTTCGGAGAGGCGGCCAGGCCGTACCTGAAGCACTCGTCAGCACATTGACACATTGTGGGCAACTCAATGGGAACAATTTATGTCATACCACTCCGATCATTTCGTACAGCATGTCTGGGGTCGGATTGCGCGCGGGTCGCGTGTGGTTGTCAGTCTGGATGGCCGCTCTCTCCGTCGCAAAAAGTGTTCGAAAGCGGCCAACCTTTCCGCCAAACCGCGGAAGCGCCCCACTTTTTTTACTAGGTCTTGGCGCGGCCGACTTACTGCTGCTATCTTGCCTATTCCGCCAAAGCTTCCCTCGATATACCTCTGAGGCTCCCGGTTTTTTCTTTCTCTTGCTACATTCACTGAAAAAATGGCCGCCCGTCTCTCCATCGCCCTCGCCGCCCGTCGAATCTCTTCCGTGGCTGCAAAGAGGCCCTCGCTAATTGTGTGTCAGAAGTGGCAGCAGGTTGCTCCAAAGCAACGGCTATTCTCGGTATCTGCCGCACGTATGCTACTCCCACAGTGCAATTGAGTCGCAACAAGACATCTCAAGTCTTTATACTTCGGACTGACGGTTTGTATAGTCAAGGAGAAGAGGTATACTGAGGACCATGAGTGGATTGAGCTGTCCGCTGATGGCAAGACATGTACGTCGACTTGCTTTAGTCCCCCCGCAATCCCCGCATCCCCAACCCCGACATACATCTTTTCTGCCTTGTCGCACAAAAGACGTATATAATGGGTCGCGTGCGCTGACATGTTGCGATACAGGCACTCTGGGCATCTCAGAATACGCAGCCAAAGCCCTCGGCGACGTTGTCTACATTGAGCTTCCACAGGTCGACATGGAAGTGGCCGAGGGCGACGTCATCGGCGCTGTTGAGTCTGTAAAGTCGGCTTCGGACATTCTCACTCCCATCGCTGGTGTTGTTTCTGAAGTTAACGAGGCATTGGAGTCCGCGCCAGGCAGTGTCAACAAGGACCCCGAGGGCGATGCCTGGGTCGCAAAGATCGCTGTGTCAGCGGAGCCCAAGGGCAAGGCTATGAGCAAGGAAGAGTATGCCGCCTTTACTGAAGAGTAAAAACTCCAAAGAAACATAGGGACAGGCTAGTGTACATGGGTGGATAATACAAGATACCTGCGCACCATCTTCAACAGGGCGCGCCAAATACAACATGAATTTCACATCTTGATGTTCGTTGTGCCATAAAGGTCATTGAATAGCCTGCTGGCACCAGCCAGTTCTGCTGCATTTCCGGGCGTCAGCATCTTTCCTGACCCTTGCCTTTTGTCATAATCGTCCCTCTCACATACTTATTCGTCATCTTTTTTAAAACGCCTTCATGTTCCTCGGGCCCCCATACACTACTCAGCGTCGCCCTAGCAAGCCCTTTGCAAGAAAATAACCAATGGTTTCCAACTCATCTCTCCTAGATGCCATGATAAACTATGTGCTCCTCACTCCGTGGAGACGCCTTTGCATTAGATTATCTTTGAATAGCCTGTGACGTCAATTTTGGGTAAACGCAATTGTATACTTATTCCGACCCTTGAGAGCAGCCAACATGTACTGCAACATCTGGGCTGGACACTGTGGTGGGGAAAAGAGGCATTGTCCACCAATCGAGGATGACTAGTAAGCGGCCATGGTCGGTATTTACTAGTTGCTCGCATGCCGAAAGAGGCAAGACCACTGGGTCCGGGGACTCTACCAACCTAATCGCGGAACACGTAATCCTTGTGCTTGTGCAGGCAGCAAAGCATGATTTTTGACTCAAATGGAGCATATGGCGATGATATGTCTCAGGCCAAGTACATAGGATTTGATATGAGGGCCGTCTGACGTCATTTGGTTTATCCATATTACCACGACCACCTCAGTCCCTCAACTCCACCGCACCTGCCCGCCACTGATTTTGATTGCCACTCTACCTAGAGGAAACCTAGTAAAATATATGCTGATGGAATTTCGACCGCCTAAATCATGCCCAGGTCATCATGCTGTTCTCCCACAGTGACAACCATCCATGCCTGTATCGAGGGTTGGGCATACCGGGAAAATATTTCGATTATGCAGCTTCCAAGTAGTCCGAGGCGAACTTTCATGCTGATACTGCATCTCAGGTCATTGACCAAAACCGGTACACCTTGCATATGCGTAGAAGGCCATCCCTGTGACAAGTCCTACGACACATGAGCCCAAAGGTTCCGTGGAAGACAGCCTTTACAGATATCAAAATATCAGCAGCTACGAAACTTAGCAATCAAATCCCAGGAGAATGCGAAAAGGGCCGTAGAGAACTAATTCACGTGGCTACAAGATACGTACTCTTTGATATTGTCCTAATCACTAGAGGTCGCCAACGTCGGGAAGGAGGAGGTTATAATCCATAAGAATCGCCGATGACCCCGAAGATTAAAGCCAAAAATAGTATTCTTAAGCGAAAGTCTAACTGAAACGTAGCAAGAGGGCTCAACAAGGCCGGTTCTGATTGATGTACCGTACTTGTGGCCTGAGTGAGGGATCAAAAAGCTATGAGGTAAGACTTTCGTCAGACACACCGCATATTATCACAATTGTATACTCACCCCGCGCTGTTTGTGAAAAAAAATATATATAATTAGATTGCTACACCCCTAGACATGCGTACAGAAAAAAACTATCTAGCACAACGAACACAAAATGCCAAGCTCCATCAATATCGGTTCCCTTCGCGAAAGGAAAACAATCCAACAACTTCCCATTCCCGCTCGAAAAGGACACAACGCAATACTGAACTCCGATTATACCCATGACATTATCGATGCAATCGGCACGTGGGGATGCCAGCGATTGGTCATAGTGCACTCCAAAGCCCTCGACGAGAACACTGATGTTCTCAAGAAACTGAAAGAGAAATTGGGCCTTTTTGCAGTAGCTTGCAAGTCCGGTGTTGGTGCACACTCGCCCTACGATGATATTTTGGAAATAGCAAGATTAATAAACGAGAACGATGCAGATTGTCTCGTCAGCATCGGAAGCAGTAGCTACTCGGACGCATGCAAGATTGCGCGCTTAATGCATGCCAACCTTGCGGCGGATAATCTCACAGTAGAAGCAATGGAAGCCCTGGTTGACCAAGAGAAAGGAAAAGCAGATGGACTGAAAGATCCAAACGTCAAACTCATTGTTATGCCAACCAGTCTCTCTGCCAGCGAGTGGAATAATAATTCCTCAGCAACAAATCCCCAGACACTCAAGAAGCAGCATTTTGCCAGCGAGCACGCAGCCCCGGATCTGATCCTTCTCGAGCCAGAAGTAGCAGCTACATCGCCTCGAAAACTCTTGCTCTCAAGCGGTATACGCGCAGTGGATCACTGCATCGAAACAGTACGTTTTCTTTTCTTCCTCCTCTTCAAATGACAACCAAGAAACCCCTACCCTCCCAAAAAAAACTCTTCCCGCTAACTTACACCTCTTCTCTCGGTAGATGTTGAATGAACTCTGCACAGGCGAAATCTTCTTCCATATGGAAAATGCCCTCCAAACACTTTTGCGTGGCCTCAAAGCCTATAAAAATGGCGAGGCTCACAACAAGTACTCTGAGCTCCTCGAAGGCATCGCAAATTGCCAACTTGGGGCTCGAGACGCTATGATGGGACTGATAATGTGGGATATCCCAATGGGCCTTTCACATGCCATTGGGCACCAGTTGGGCAGCATTTGCGGCGTCATGCATGGCGTTACTTCATGTGTGATGCTTGCTCCTGTGCTGAGGTATACAGCGGACAGGTCAGATAGGCAAAGGGAGGTCCAGAAGCGGGTGTTGGAGGTTTGGAATAGGGCGTTGAGTGCTGACGAGGATGATCTTGCGGATGCGGTAGGCGATTTTGTCAGGTATCTCGGGTTGCCGAGTACGCTCAAGGAGGTTGGTGTTGAGAAGCAAGAGGATATTGATAGGGTGGCTGAAAGTACACTGACGGATGTGTTTGGGGCCATGGAGGGCATGGGCGGAAAGGAAGATGTGCTTGCTATCTTGGACTCTGCAAGAGGCTAAAAACGACATCGAAGGCCTCAGTTTTATTTTACAAATTCTTTTTTTTCTTTCTTTTCAATCAATCTTACTCGTTCAGCCAAACTGCTCGCTTCTCAGTCGGAAAATACAACTCTCTTAGATCCCCCAAGGGCAAGTCCTCAAACACCGCCACATCCTCGACAATCGCATTTGCCAGCTCCGCAGGCAACTGCCCCTTGCCCACCCTCCTCATCGTCCTCCAAATCTCATAAAGCCTACTACTCTCCTTAAGAAACTGCCTCGACCGCCTGAACCACCCAATCTCGAACCACTCAGCCTGCGCACCCTCGCAAACAGGTGTCTCCCACTTCCTCGTCTCCTCGACATCCATCTGCCCCCAAATCGGCACCAAAAGCTGCGCCTTCGCCAACGCCCTGACAACCGGCTCCGTCGCCACATCCCACGGCACCACCCTCCGCACCGGCACTGCCTTCCCCTCCCTCTCACAACCCCGCTGCTGCTGCTGTTCACCCGGCGGATCCCACATATCCACACATATCCTCAACAACGCATCATCTAGAATCCAATACAAACTCTCGCGCTGACTATTCAGAAAGCGCTCGAGTGCCACGCCCGGATGCCGCAGCACATGCACGCCCCAGTCCACGAGCAGACACGCGGCCGCGGCCCACGAGCCCGACGCAACGACGCTGGCGAAACGGCGCACTGTGGCTGCGAATTCGCGGGTACGGTGGAACAGCGTGGTGTAGATGCGCGGGATACTTGAGAGGCCTTGCAGATCGGCTAGGATGACGGTGTTCATGCTAGCGATGTCGCGGGTGAGGGCCAGGGCTGCGGCTGTGGGGGACCATGTTGTGTGTGGTAGGGGTGCGAAGAAGGGGGATGGATTTGTGGATTTTTGAGTACTACTACTAGTACTACTGCCACTGCTGGTGCTGCTACTACTGCTACTTCCGCTGGTGCTGCTGCTTGCTGCGTGGGAAGAGCTAGTAACAGAGGACGATGAAGATGGAGAAGGTTGCTGCAATAGCGTTGGCAGCATGGTGAGACAGGGAACAAGGTATGTAAGGGTTCCTTGCGACGGCTTGCGCTGATTGTTCTTTTTTTTCCTGGGGTCAAGGCCAAATGCGTGGTAGGGGTGCGGGTTGCGTGTCCCTGCGAACCAGACCCTCGTCGTCGGCGGGTGCCCCGGAAATAGGTAGTGGTATTACGTCATCAAGTGCTGGGGGCTAGTGGGTAGTTTTTGCGTGCGGAAACGGTGTACGTCCTGGATGTAGCTTTGGCTTCTATACTATGAGAGAAGTGACAACGGATTTGATGTGTGTTATAACTAGCGGTATGTTTGATTTTGGCCCCACCCGGCACGTGATAGGGTTCGTATACAGGATTAGACGAGATTGATGGACCCTGAGCGGGCCTGTTACCCATGTTTTAAGGAGTGGGGCTACTTATCACTACGATATCAGGGTTGGGTCATGTTTTATTCTCAGTCTTTACACGGAATCACCAAAATCCATGAGATTGAATTCAGACGATGTTGTAGCAGATGAAAATCCGCGTGTTTTAAATATCATTGATTGACGTCGCAAACTTGATGCAACTGTTTACTAAGAAAGAAACTCCAAAGGTACCGCTCGATTTCTAAGTACCAGATGATACACATAGTACTTGTGCTTCTTTACCTAGCAAGTGCCAGAGAACCCCACAATCCAGACGGATTCGACAAGAGCAAGATCGAACGTGTAATATACCAGCCACTGACCTCCCACCCAATTCACTCAACGAAAAACCTCAAACTTCACCTCTTCCTCTTCCTCCCAGCAACCTTACTCCGTTTTCGCTTCGCCACTTTCTCTACACACTCATCACAAAACCACTTTCCCTTCGGCACCGTCTTGGGCTCCAATCCCACGCAGGTAAAATGGAACCATTCCGTTGCACAGCCCTTGCTGTCACAAGCAATCATGTCGTTGGTATCTGGTGTGCCGCAGAAGCAGTACCCAGGCTCCGTTGTTGTAGACTCTGGTGTAGTATGCTCTAGTACAACACGCTCTGGTTTAGTAGACTCTGTTGTCGTTAACTCCGGTATCGTATTCTCTAGCGGCATAGGCTCCGGAGCATCAAGCTTTGGTGTCGTAGACTCTGGTGTAGTAGACTTTGTCGTCGCAACCTCCAGTGTCGTAACCTCTGCCGTCGTAGCCTCTCCCACCCTCCCACCATCCCTCCTCTCTTCCAACTCCTCCACCCCATCCACTCCATCCAAACCTGGCTCCTCCTCCACCACATCCTCACCCCCCTTCCCTCCCACAAACCCCGCCACCGCATCTTCCCACAACTGAATCCCATGCACAGCGCAATCATGCTGACCCACCGTAACCTCACCCACAAACCCCTCCTCTACCACCCCCTCAGAAACCTTAACCCTCTTAGCCACCTCCACCACCTCCTCCTCTTCATCCCCAACATCAGCACATCCAAAACACGCCTCACACACCCACTCGCAGCCTTCCTCAGGAAACCCCACACAAACCCAATGAAACCACCTAACCTCGCACTTTGCTTTCCGCGCACACTGCACCATCGGCCCCATGATATACGGCGGGACCTCGCAAACGCACACGCGCGGCGGAGGCGATAGCGTCAGCATTTGCGTCGGCAGAGAGAGCAGAGTCTGAGCTAGACGGCAATCCCGACAGAACCACGGTTCGTTGCTGAGGAGGTGTTGGTGTGTTAGGTCGACGCAGTGCATGTGGTAGTATCGTGTTTTGCACTTTTTGCTGGCGCAGGCGATGAGGGGGTGATGGTAGGTGGTTTCTGGGGGTATACCGCAGTGGCATATGGGGGTTGGGGTGTGGGATTTTGTTGCGTAGAGGTATTTTGAGGTTTCTGTTGAGGATGACATGGGTGGTGGTCGTGGTTGTGGTGACAAAAATGGAGTTGGCATTTTTTTTTGATATTGGTGTATGTGAGTGGTTGATCTTGAAGATCGGTGGATTGAAAGACGTTGGGTTGATGTAAGTATTGAGAGACTGAAGTGAACGAATACAAGATCAAATGGGCAGCGTGAAAGCGCACGGTTGCGCTTGGTTGGAGGATGACGCAGAGTTTATTGTACTGGTGACCGGTGACGAAGAAGTGAATTGACTTGACAATAGCAGGCTGATGAGAGAGGAGTGAGAGCAAACAGATCGACACTCCATATTGTTCACATTGTAAGTTTGATTGTATTGAGTAAGTCTCAGGTCTCCTGAAAGCACAGCGGCATATTGTCCATGAAATTGTATTAGTACATGCCGCAAAAGAAGTTGTCGTGATCCCATCCACAGCGTTTGCTTGCGGATATCTATGATAATCTTGGCAACTCGGCGCTTCACTCTCCATGACCGACAACCTGTCTCCTCCCGTGGACCCCCTCCCAATCTTCCCATAGGCCCTTCCAGATGTCCCTCTCACTTCTGCCTAGACCGGCAAACATTGCGTCCAGTGTCTCTCTGTGCAGGCTCGCCGTGCCGACAACCTCCCAGATGCCAGGCATCAGCTTCTCTCTGACACTCTGATCTAGCCTTCCGTTGAGCTGGAAGCGACAGAATGACGCAAGGAGTGGATACAAGAAGTTACTCGCCTTCTCACGAGCTGCTTTGATCGGATCGTTGAGATCCTTGGATTTGCGTGATTGGTGATGTTGGTGTGCTTTTGTGATTGAAGACTGTGGGGGGTTACAAAGTGTAGAGAGCAGCCGCGTGAACTCTGAAGCGTTGGCAGCTGTGAGTCGTATGGGCTCTGTGGCTACAGTGGTTCGTAACCATGAAGGTAGTGCGCCGCTTCGACTAGCATTTGGGATGAACAAACAGAACAAGAGGCCTTGCAAGAGCGGCAAGAAGAGGTGAAAGCGTCCACCAAGGCGACCCCTGTGTACAAGTAGGATCAGGCGACTCGTATGACAAAGCCTTGAAAAGACCGATGGAGCATATCGAGAGGACAGTGCAGGGCTGCTTCGCGAAGTCAGCTTGACAAGCATGCCGAAAGCGCACTCGATACTGTATTGCGACGCGAGTGAAGGCTTATCATTCAAGATGGTGTCTATACAGCTGAGGAGGCTGTTGAATGACTCATAGTCGGTGCAATCAGCAAGTAAAGCACAGAGTTTGGGCAACAATGCCAGCTGCTTTTGTTTCAGCTCAGCATTAACCTCAAGCTTGTCGTCCATTGTTGAGACAAGGTTGTTGAGGATGCGATATGCCGCGGCAGAGTTCGGTAACTTTTGATCAGCAGTCAACACTGCAATCAAATCCAATTTCTCGTAGACGGCGAGAGGTGTGAGTGCATCTTTAAGTGTAGTGTGCACGGTATTCTGCATAGAAACCGGGCTCCATTGTACAAGCGTGAGCGTCAAGCGTACTAGCCATGTCATATCAGGATACAACTCGAACTTCGTAACCAAGTTGTATACACGCGCGACATATTCGACGACGTCAGATCGAATCACGACGTCAGGTGCTTGGTATTGATCAAGGTCCACAGCATCCTTGATCCACGTCCGGAGCCAAGTCTGGACACGGTCGAACAACTTGGCTTCTCTCAATGCAGATATCGATAGGTCGTTGAAAGCATCGAGAGAACCCTGTAGCACATCAATGTCCGGACTGCTGAGCAACTTCTTCAGGAGATCGATGTATCGCTCAATATGCAGAAGAGTGTTCTGTTTCTGGGCTGATGATGTCGCTCGGAGAATTGAGAGCCTCGCTAATGAGCACTGATCTCTAGCCTTGGTGATGGAAAGCAATCTCCCTGTGAATTCGATGACAAACTCCTTGTTTTTTGACTGGGTTTGGTTCGGTAGAATTTGCATCAGTGTCTTTTGAACAAGCCCTCTAAGAAGCTGTAGGACGGTCTCCGTTTCCACGTCTTGTTGATGGAGTTGCTCCGCAATATCGAAAAGCACGGTGGCTTCGGTTGACACTTGTGCCGATGCATTCGGCACGTACTGGAGGTGGTCGACGACGCCCAAAAGCTCAACTGGATTGGATTTCCCGGAGATCAAAAGCTCAGTTGTACGGTCCAGTATCAACTTTCTCTGTTCGCGAGCAAGCGCCTGAGGATTGATGTGAAGGATGGCTTCTGCGACTGCAGTATAGATGCCATCATCAACATCTTGTCCCAGAGCTTTCAAAAGTGCTGCAGAATAAGCACTTTGAGTTGATGCGCTCCCGCTCTTGGCGACAGACTCAGAGAGGGACCTGCAGATGAGATCGCTAGAAATCTTTCCCAGCTGAGGAAGTCTGGACAAGATCCTGCATATCGTATCGCAGCAAGCATTTGCCTCAAGAGGCTCGAGCAAATTGATGAAGTTGCTACAGAAAACTTCTACCATGCATTTACCGTCTTCATCTCCCAACTGCGTAGGAGAGAGATTCTCTAGGATCTTTTGCATCCCATTACGGATGACATCTTCAGAACCAGGCACTGTTTGAAGGCGATCGCATGCGTTGAAGGAGAAAAGCATAGCAGCCGCTCGTGAGGACGAGTCCACATTTCGGCTTTTGTCTTTGCGTCCAGAGGAGATGTCCTTGGTAGCCTGCTCAAATAGCGGATATAATAACTCCTGCTGTTCCCGGAAAGAAGCGTGCATATGAACTGGCCAGAGATCAACTAGCAATTGGCACAATGTGAACCAAGAAAGGTGGGGCTGCGTGTAGAAGCTGTAGGCGTCATCTTGTACCCAAGTGACATAAATGGAAAACAACAGCTGAAGGTCAAACTTCAGCATCTCGACGGTGTTGTCTGATCGAATGGATTGAAGGAAAGCGGGGATGAGGACAGCGCTGCTTGCCGCGTTCTTGTAAGCTGCGAGCTTCTTGACCTTTACATCTTCTTTGGACGCTGCTTCCATTGCCTCTTTCAGTGTCGCCAAACGCTCTTCATGATCTTGAATAAGAATCTTGATTTGACCCAGAGTGAGAGACTGTTCAAAAACACCTGCCAAGGCAGTGTAGAGGGCGCGATCTTGCCAAATGATATCTTGTCGATCTTTAAGAGCCTTGCGTTTCCCATGTCTGTAGCTTTTGATCAACTGATCATCCCATCTGCGAATGAAGCCTAGCAAGTTGCGACTTCGTACAAAGGCCGACATGAGAGGGATAATAACCTTCTCTAGAATTGCTTTTCTTGTCAATTGTGAGTTTCTGGTAATTTCTGGCTGGTTCTCAGTCTTCTGGGCCTGCTTCTCATCAAGAAACCCTTGACCGCTCAACTCCACTGCAGATATCTGCTCGAAAATGAACTCAACAAGCTCAGTATGGTCTGCTTGTGTTCCTTTGCTGCCTGATTTCGATCCTATGACGAATACCGAGGAGTCAAGCTCGATCAAAGATGCAATTAGGGACCAATGCACCTTCTTCTCTTGACCTTCTGGGTATTTGACTCCGCAATGGTACCAAAAGATGGTCTTGACGAGATCTGAACCAAGAGTAACTTCATGGACTTGCAGCACACGCAAAGCAGCACTGAGAGCAGCGACCGCGGTTTGGCGTGTGATGAACTCCGGAGGAGTCGTCAGTGAACATCCCGCGCACTCAGCAAGTGTAGAAAAGACAGCTTGCAGCCAGGGTTTCTCCATGGCCCTGCTTTTCGGTGTTCGAGACGGGGATACGCGGATGACCAAATCTAATAAGTGGGGGACTGCGTCGAACAGGGATGCAAGTCTTGTTGGCAGAACATCGCCGCCATCCTCAATCTGCGCAGCTTGGAGGAGCTTCGCACGCAGAGGTTCCAAGTTGCTGGCCAACACTTGGGCGTCCCGCGGCTTTGGGGCTTCGCCCGAAGAAGATCTACTGCTGGTCTCGCCAAAGAAAGCCGCTCTCGAAGGCGCAAATAAATGCCTAGTTAATGACTTGTCCAATGCTCCAATCGCGCGACTAACTGCATAAGAAGGAACATTCGAGACACCTCCGTCGCGTAAATCCTGTAGGTATACGAGAAGATCCAATGTAGGAACAAGGCACTCTGTGCTGAACTCTTCAGCAGACGCACCAGTCTCATCTTTTGCATCCACTGTTCGTAGATCCCAGATTCCGTAGGGTAGGGAGAGGTCGACGAATTCTGTCCAGTAGGGGTCCAGATGTGTGTTTTTTGAAGGAGTGCTTAGAATTCGGTGAACGCTCGTGAGCCAGAACCTCAGGATCCGTGAAGCTTCCGCACTGTCGGTCCTCAAGACCATCTTCATAAGCTCCGCTTGAGTAGTATCGTCGCCCTTGTTTCCTGCGGCCAAAGCGGTTATCGAGGCTACGATAGATCGAATTACGCGAAAAAGATGACCGAGTTTTGCTGGATCGAGAGTTGCCGTTCTCAAGGGTGGACTTTGCACAATTCCGCGCTTTCGTTTCTTAGATGGCTTGCTGTCTTCCCGGACGGTCGCGCTCGACTCGGAATCGTCATTCATGTGAACATCCTCGGATGCGCTTGCAGGCTGCACAGTAGGTTCCTTGTCGAAGTTCTCAACAAGCGCTCGCTCAAGAATGCTCGGGAAACTGGCGTCGCGTAAATGAGATGCGCTTCTCGAAACAGGAAGGATTTGAATCATCCATTCAAGAAGTTGCCATGCGTTCGCATTTCCCCGCGCTGTGCGCCCTATTTCCAAATCATCCTTCAGTTTGTCAAGTATCCATCGCAAAACCCATTCCGCTCTTGCGCGCACAAGTCGCTGTATGATCCTGGCCTTTACTTCCTCTTCTGTCACAGTGGTCCAATCTTCAGGAAGACCTATTATATGCGCAACTTGTGAAATTTGTTCGTCTAGGTCGGAAAAGTCCTGGTTAATGGCTTGCAGCCGCGGGCGGGTCGACGCAGGGTCGTTCTTCGAGGCCTATTCAGATGTCAGCTACCTTCTTGACAAATTATACGTCTCTTACTCACTGGCTGGATTGGCGCCATCTTGTCACCTCACTTCCCGTTTGCAGTTGCAAAAGCTAAAGGAAACGTAGCAGGCGAGTAAAGCAGTGGTAGTAAGGTCGAAAAAAGTTGTGCACGGACCAAGCGTACCCTTGTCGTTCCTGCCAAGGGCCGGCGACGTCAAAGTTCGGCATTCCCAGCTGTCGGGCGAAGACCATCAACACCACGTCGAGCCGCTCCCATTCACCTCTCAGCACACCGAGTGCGCCGTTGCATCCATCAATTGCACTCGACATATCCGCTGCCATGGCCGAAAACAACCCCCAGCCCGTTGCGTCCATCTCGCGTACGACCCGTCCCATGAGCGAGGCTCTGCTCAACGAAAAGGTAGAATAGCCACTCCCGACACAATCCCGTGATGAAGGCATTGGCAATGTCTGGGTTCGAATTGGTGCATCTGGTTGTTTGGGAAGAATGCCCTCGTATGCAATGGCGGGGCACAATGCTCTCACGCGACTCGGATGACTGCCCATGCCAACACCACCAACCCACACCGATAAGCAGCACAAAGATTGGGTTCGAACAAGGCTACTAACATATGCCCACAGTGGGACCGCTGCCTCTCCTCAATGCTCATCCGCTCGGGTCTCGGAGTCTCCTTCGGCGTCGTCTTCTCGGTCCTCCTCTTCAAGCGACGCGCATGGCCCGCCTTTGTCGGTCTCGGTTTCGGTGCTGGAAGGGCATGGGAAGAGTGCGACAACGTCAGTTTCCCTCGACGCACCAACTTCTATCAAGCACGTAGCGTCCTAACCGCGCCAAACAGTCATTCAAGCGAGCAGCAGCACCCTCGAAAGACGGCCTCCGCGTTATCCGACCATAAGCGACTTTTGACGTGCGAGCGGGGGACATTGATCGATACCATTCGGTGTGGGTTTGGAGCTCTGCATAGTAAATATGCAGTGTACAGTAGGACATGGTATAGACCATCTGGGCAATTCAAAGCTGTTCTTCTTGACTTTTCCCATTCTATCTATATCCTCTATTCCCTTTTACCATTTGCGAACTTGGAAAGAAAACGCCCCCTCCTATCTCCCTCCCACAAACCCTTCATTAATGATAATCCTCAAACGTATACCCCTTGACTCCCTCAAGCACAGTAAACCGATGTGTAGTAAATGTAATATGCTCATACAACTCCCTCCCCGCCGCCCGTGCCTTCTTATGCCACGGCCCCAAACCCCCTCGATACGCATCTTCCCTGCTATGCCAAAAACCTGCTCACGAACGTCAGTTAAACCGTGTCTTCCTCAACCACCACACCACATCACGTGGCTAATTCCAGCAAGAAAAAAAACAAGAACAAGGGAATGAAAACATACAAGTTGCCAAATTCCTCCTTTCCGCATCGCTCTTTCCAAACCAGTATTTCAGCAACCCACCGGACTCACACGCCTCTCTGTGACTCTCCTCGTCCAACTTGTACAGATGATCATTATCAATGTTGTCTTTGAGTTTGCTCCGGAAGACAACGACGTAGAAGCGTGTTTCTGGCCATTCTACACCTTCGCTTTTAACAAGTGCGCGTAGGACATCGAGCACGATGTCGAGGTTGAGCGCGGAGGTGTATGGGGCTGTAGCGTAGGTGGGGAGAGTGGGTTGGAGGGATGTTAAGGCTACGGCGAGGAGGAGGGAAGGGAGAGGCAGGGGAGGGGTAGAGAGGGACAGGTAGTGGCCGGGTTTGTTGTAGGGAGATGTGATGAGGGTGTCTGAGGGGGCTGGGCCGGGCGGTGTTATTGGTGCAGGAGCTTGGGTCGGAAATTTTGGGATGACAGCGCTGATGAGCTGAGTGTAGGCTGCAGCTTGGAAGCGGTGGGCGTCGAAATCTGTGGTTATGAGGGTTGGATCTCGAAGAGTGACGCTGCGGAGTGGGATGGATTTGTTGGGTGAAGGCGGTGTAGCCGGGAGTTCTGTTATTTTGACATTCGGTTCCTTGAGGTCCGGTGCTTGGGCTGGAAGAGCAATTGTATATCCTGGTCTCTCCATGGTTTTCTTGGAATATTTCTTCCTGAAGTTGATCTGTCAGATCTCTCTTCTTTCCCTTGTACAACTGATGCCAGAATACTCCGTTGAGCATCCAACAATACTTACCTATGTTGTTTCTTCACCTTCCAGGCGTTTGGTACGTAGTTTTTGTAATTCTTTATTAATATTTTTATTCGATTTCAAGTCTCGAAACTATAGTGTGTTATTCTTTGTCACTCAAGTGTTGATTGATGATGGTACGCGGTTCGGTCATATTCCGCTCCAAGCACGTTTAATCACGCAATTCTGGTAAACGCCATTTTAGCCTCCTTGGTGACTTGGGCCCACACATAATACGGATGGCCCTAAGTCGGTATACCTTCAGTCAAAGGGTATTGGTCAGTCGTAATAGGGCGAGTCCTATACAATCTCGTTTCTTGAGTCGGTTGAGTTACTCAATCCGAGCTAGTACGTGTCCCTCTTTACCAAGTAAAGTCGTGCGGCGAGGGGACCCTGCATCAACTAAAACACGCAGGATACCCTAGTTGAAGGAAAGTCGGTGGCTACTGAGCACGTCACAGTACTTAGACGCCGTGACGCAGAAAACCCTCAAGGGTCTTGTCTAAAGTCAGTTTCATCCAATTAAATAATGATGTGAATGTGTCGATCTCGCCCAACAATCAATCAGCCCAAAGCGAATACATACATCAATCCATGATTGTCGTCAGTGCCAAGTTATGCATGCGCTGATAACCAAACGGATGGTCCTCCGTGACGGGTACCTCACAGCCATACTCTTCTATGCATGTGTCAAAAGGCTTGTTCTGCAAACGGTTATCACCGGGTGGTAATGGGAGATCGGAGCCTTTAGCTCTCAGTTCTGTCTTCAACTCCATTAAGTTTCCCCAGAGAAGGAACAGTTTTTGTTCAAGCTGTCTCAGCACTTTGGGGTTGTTCTTGAGGCTGTGATGATGTCAATCAGCATGTGACTAGCAACGATCTAAAGCTCGCTTACTCTTGCGCATTCAGTTTCAACAGGTACTGTGCTGAGCTGTTGTTCACAACAACACGCAGCTTCTCAGACACACCGCCCCGAGGTACTTCTGCGTCTTCCAGCAGGAGCACGAATCCCCACTCCCATCTTTCTTTCGGGCATGTATTGTCGGCATGCTGCTTTCCAGACCGCTTGGTCCAGTTTGGATCATTTAGAGAGTGAGCAAAGAGTTCAAGTTTGGGAGGGAACACATCAATTACGCGCACACGAGATCGGTACCGGCAATTGACAAAGGGAAGTTCATAGTCATTACACTTTTCAAGCGTGCGCACACGAAGATGAGGGTTGTGTATGATTTCAGAGATTGTGGAAGACTTCATATCCACATGAGCGCATCGGACTACATCTGGGTTAGTATAGATCAACAAGAGATGACACGAGTCTCACTATTGGTATTTACGCCACTGCGTGAGGCTTCCCATTCACGGGCCTTCTTTTCAATTTCCTGTTGCTCGGCTTCTTTCTCAACCCGCTGTCGTTCTCTTTTGGCCAATTTCTTGTCGTGTGATGTTTTGGCAGAAGGTTTTTTAGCTTCACTCTGTATTTTTTCGAAAGCTGTTACACCGCCGCCACGTTTGCTCTCGTATTCTCTCCGTCGGTTGTCGATTTCTGCAATTTCCGACGCGCTCTTCACAGAACGTATGTCGACTTGTGATTTGTTGACTTTGTCTTGATGCACTACGCCCTCAAGTTTGCCACGGGCAGACAATTTCACTCTCATGTTTCGTATGAAAACATAGTCACCTATCGCCAAGTGTTCTCTTGCCCAGTTTGCGTTTTCTTCATACAAGGTAACGCTGAGAGTCAAGTATCCGTATGGACCTTTCCAGTGTCTATCTGCAACATGGAAGCTGTCTTCCTTTTCAGGATCGGCGTAATAAAACATGCTCTCGTTTGGAGTGTAGTCGGTAACTTTCAAGTCGACTTGACCGTGATAGTGGTAGATGTTGACAACTTGTGCTCGGATGTTCGCGAAAGTGTTAAACTGCAAGTCTTTGATCAGATAGTCCCTTTTCCCTGTTTGGGTATTGAACGCAGCCGTCGCTACATGCTGTCGTATTTGCTGGCCTGAACCAGAAGAGGCGTGCTTCAGGTGTATGACAGCCATTTGCTCTGGGATTGTGGGTTGCGAAGCCCCCCAAGATGAATCGCAAGGGAGCTTTTGACTGCCAGCTTGGAAGGCATGGCTGAGCTCCGGGACAGGAATCATGTTGCTAGGGAATACAGTCATATGAGTGAATTGTCTGTCGCCAATGCATTCCATACGCCCGTTCCATTGCTTAAGCTTGGCATTACGAAGAATTATGATATCTCCAAGACCAGAGATCTTAGGGAATTTATTTGGTGGTTTGAACATGCGACCATTGATGGAGGAGTAGATACTGGTAGAGGCGTCCGCAAAGTCGTCTTGGATAGTGAAGGAAAGAACATGGTCGAGACCTTTAGAGGATTTTGGGCCATCGTAAGCGACGAGGATGCCTATTAGATTGACGCTTTGACCTTCTGATGTTGCGTCCTTGATGGCAGTGAAGCCGTTGGGCAACTGCATGGTAGCTGGGAGTGGTACCGAAAGCGGCTTAGTGTGCTATCAGGCCGTCAAAGAACAGGCACATGTCAGGACACATGCAATTACACAAAAGGAGGACGGTCTTGTAATCGTAATGATTTGCCGTGTGTATCGCATGGAATTGTGCTGAAGATATCGCCACGCCACTGGAGGGCTGGGTGAGTATACAGCCGTGATTCGGGACGAGGGGACGCGTCGTGGTGCTGATGGTGGTTGCTTGGGCGTAAGGCTCGAGCCAAGGCTAGGTGCTAGCGCCATGACCGCTTTGCCGCTTCCGCTTTCAAAATCACCCCTCTAGTTAGAAAGTTTACTCCCTTTTACAAACAAACACGACCCACCGCAATCTTGTCCGACTCAACACTCTGTCCGTCAAATCGAGTCGTTGCAGAAAATGGCCGACAAATACATCCCCGAGCACCGCCGCACGACGTTCAAGGCCAAGAGCGCGTTCAAGCCGGACGAACTCCGTCGTCGCCGTGAAGAGCAACAGGTCGAGATCCGTCGAGCAAAGCGTGAAGAGAATCTTGCCAAGCGCCGTGGTATTTCAGGACGAGACCAGCCCGGTGCCTCACTGGGCGCTGCCCCCGACAGCGACGATGAGGGCGGCAACATCGAGAGCCAGGTCCGTATACCCCCACCATGCCGTGCTTTGCCCCCTCGCCCTTGTGGCGGACTTTGTCAAAGAGGCTCGAGACTGACACAATGCGATAGCTGAACGAAGAGCTCCCCCAGATGGTCAAGGGCGTCTTCTCGGAACAGATCGATGAGCAGATCCAGGCCACAACCAAGTTCCGTAAGCTCCTCTCCAAGGAGCGCAACCCGCCCATTGAGCGCGTTATCGAGACGGGCGTAGTGAGCCGCTTTGTCGAGTTCCTTCGCTCGCCGCACACACTGGTACAATTCGAGGCCGCCTGGGCCCTTACCAACATCGCCTCTGGTTCGGCACAGCAGACACAGGTCGTCATCGAGGCGGGCGCAGTGCCCATCTTTGTCGAGCTGCTCAGCAGCCACGAGCCAGACGTGCGCGAGCAGGCTGTCTGGGCCCTAGGTAACATTGCTGGAGATAGCCCCGCATGCCGCGACTTTGTGCTGCAGGCGGGTGCTCTCCGCCCGCTGCTTGCTCTGCTGGGTGACAGCCGCAAGCTGAGCATGCTGCGCAATGCCACATGGACCCTCAGCAACTTCTGCCGTGGCAAGACCCCTCAACCCGACTGGCAAACTGTGAGTCGAGCTTCGC